ATTATGAATTAAATACCATAATCGGCGTAGTCATTTGAATTTTGCAGAAGAAAACGTGCAATGAAAGGATCACCTTTTTTCTCTCACTCTAGTTCTCTGCTCCAGACAGATGTAAATGCAACTCTAATGCAATAATAATTACGAGAAACCGCAGACCATGAACGGATTTCCGTCGCTCTTGGTTACATCTTCTCGGAATTCATTAAAAGCAGTTTCTTTTGATGCATCTCTCTAGAAGTGGAATAGTTCCGAGCGTACAGTGTGGCACAATCAAATTCGATAAAGGGACATGTAATACTTGTAAGAAATGTGTTACACTTCATTTTTTATGTTTTAAGAAGGTAGGCAACCATGAAATCACGGGAACATTTTCGGTTGCGGATATACCGAAATAGAACGCCTCGCAGGTAAATAAAATACTACTGAGCCGCCTTTATCAATATGTAATCGGATATTACGAAACAGTTATTTTAAAACAATCGCTACTATCTAGCATTTGCGTAGAGGCATCTAATTTCGCGACGTCACGTCACATTTTTGGCACCAACACTGTTGTTTTTAAACTTGTATGTTATTTAAAAGCGCGCTAGGTAAACGAAGATTATGAATTTTCATGTACTACTCAAAATATGACGCTATAAAACTGTTCAGTCGTTACATTAATGTGTATGTTGGTACCGATTTGTCACTAACGACACTCGTGTCAAACATACAGTCACTTTCTTGTCAAGATGCCAAACATTTTAAAAACTCTAGCTAAATTATTATCCGACTTTAAAAACTCCAACAACGTGACACCTGTGGATTTTGTGGAAAGCGCTGTAAGGGAACGCAGTATCAAGCAAAATGAAGGCCAACATTTCTTGCATCTTGCGAAGCACGAGTTGTTCCTCCAGGAAGTTGCCGATAGTTTCTTGGACTACCACAAGTTTCGAAGGGTCAGCAAGATAAACGTGGAAGTGTTGGTGTATTACATCATTTTCGTTTTGAATCAGACAAATTACTGCACGATTTTGAACGTAGAGATGTTTTACATAAACAGACTGCTGATGTATCTCCTCGAAGAGAGCAACCACCTTCAACTGACGAAAATCGCTTGTAAGATGTTCGAAAACAGCTACGTTCTAGAACAGATTATGTACCCACTGCTTAACAAACAAGAACTGATACAAGCCGTACTAGAAAAAAAAGAAGACGACGAGAGCAACAAAATCGTTAGAAGAGACATTACAATTCCACAGGAATTTGAGTGTTTCAAGAAAACATGTAAAAGGTCTCCTGCACCTCCATTAAATACCCCTGAAGGATCTAGATGGGGAAGAAGCAAGTCTAAATTCAACAGATTGTTCGATTTAACTCTTTCCAAAAAACTCGAGGAGGAGTTCGAGAAAAATCGAGAACGGGCACGGTGTTTATTGGAAGAAGCGCACAAAGTACCTTACAGACTAATCGAACCAAAAAGAGAAAAAGCGCCACTATCTTTCAAAAGTAAAACGTTCAAAGCCAGCGAAATACCACCGAAAAAACAAGTGGAAATAAAGGGTAACCTAACCACTACCTTAAGGGAAGCAGCCAGGCTCATCAAAGACCAAGAAAACGAAATAAAGAAAATAGACGATATAATAAAAGGAGGATCAAACGCAGAGGCAGTGGAGCGAATGGAAATGGAGCTACGCCGAGAGGAACAACAGAAGGAAATGGAAGACATAGAAAGAAAACACCTACAGAGCCTAATTACTTACGAAGAAGCCATATTGGCAAAGCGCAGACTTCTAAAACGAAACAAGGAGAAAATGTTAGAGGTCAAAGAGGTTAAAGCGGAACTTTCGAAGAAGCTGGACCAATGGAAGAAGGAAGAGCAAGAGAAGCTAAAATTGTTCGTGGAGAAAGGTCACAAAATCAAGGAAGACGCCAGGGAAGCAGGGAAGAAGCTTCAAGAAGAGCGACAAGATCAAGTGAGGATGCAACAGTACGAGACCAAGGAACTGCTAAAGAAGGTCTACGAAGAGCAGAAGCAGGAGCTGGCCAGGAAGGTGAATCTCATCGAAGAAATACGAGCTTTGCACGAGATACGTTCCAACATGAACGTGAAGGAGTTCGATCCCACGGAGTGTCCGAATTTGGGATTGCTGTGCGAGATGTCCATAGCGGAATTGCAGGAGCGCCTGGCCATCACCAAGATGAAGATGAAGGAAGAGTTAGAAGATAAGAGGAAGCAGATTCTGAAGAGGAAGGAACAGCAGCAGGAGATGCTGGAGAACGTGAGGAATTTCATTACTCAAACGCGGTTAATGTCAAAGGCGCAGTCATTGCCAATTTCGACGGTGAATGTGGGACGTAGTCCTGATTTAGACGAGCTCAGGAAGAAGCTGGAGGAAAAAAGGGGCCTGAGAATGAAACTGAAGAAGAAAAAGAAATATGCTTGATTGTAGAGTGGATCTGTGGGATACAATTTTTTAAATAAAACTTTCCACGTTGTGCATGTTTTATATATCACTCAGAAAATAGTGCAAAAATGATAATAAATTAAACTATTAAGTTGGAAAATAAATAATGATAATTGTATTAGTATATACTATTTGGATTATATTATATTTTGGTCCAGTAGTCATGTAGCCAGGGGGTCCCAATTGCCTCCTTCATTTAGATGGTGTTTTTTGTGTATTTTGAGCTGCAGAACACGAATTTTTTGGGTAGAAGTTTGCCCGGACGTCGATAAGTTTTTTATTAACAAAAAACTTATATACTGCGAACTTAGTTTTTGGCAAAATAAAAAGTATTTTCTTGTTAAGAAGAAAATGTCTTTTGCAATTTTTTTGTTAAACGCATAGTTTTTGAGATAAACGCCGTTAAAAACTCGAAAAATGCAATGCAATATTCAATTGTTAATAACTTTTGATTGAATAGGTATTTTGTAATTCTCCTGATCGGCGTTTGAAAGTTCACGTTAAATATTACAAATTATGAGTAATTGCAGTGTAAAAATTTGTTTTTTCTACTGTTATTTGAAGCTATAAACAAATAGCGATTGAGCGTTCAGAAGTGTGCGCCCCAATGTATGTAAGAGAGCGGTTGCCTTCTTACAGGCATTTAATACACGATCTCGACGCGTACTCTTTATTTCTAGACCAAAGAAACGATGAAAACTAAACGAAACATTAACAATTTAATGAAAATTTGCAATATTACAATAATTAAAATTGAAATTTTTTTGACAAATAATGCAAAGATCTGATTTAATTAAGCTATTCATCTTGTAACATGAACGTTAATAATTCTATATCTTTTTGAAACGCGACTATAAACAAGTTTAAAAAATAAAAATGACAATCGTTTAAAACAAAATGCATTAAAAAGACTCGGAAAATTTGAAATATCAAAGATATAAAGTTTGCATGGTTAATTCTAATTTGTTTTGTAAACATTATTATACGATTTATATGAAAAAAAATAGCGAAATTATATTAGTTTTATTTATAAACGATAATAAAAAAGTTTGTACTTATATTAAAAGCGTAACATCGTATAATTTAGGTGTTTCTATAATTATAATTTTATAACTTGTATAATAATTTTAATTAATAATAATAATATAATAATATCTCTACTCCTCATTCTAACTACGAGAAATCTAGCCCAGAAGTCGGAGACTTGTGCGGGAGAGAAGGCGGCATATTACTATTACGCAGGCCGCATTTGCGCCCAGGAACGACTTATGTTGGTAGACCCTAACCACCATTCAGTGCAGGAATGAGGGAAACCTGGAAAACCATTAATTAGGGGGGTGGTCAAGTGCCAACCGGTGTCAATCTCTCACATTGACCCAAGCCAACATTCTTCCACCCTACCATACTTGCACAGAGGGTACCAATTCTCCGTACAATCATAGCTAATCTACGGTCTACCGGCCGCGGGATTCGAAACCCGGGCAGATCGACACATCGATTTAAGTACTGACGCCTTAAACCGTGCGGCTATCGACCGTGTGAAAATTATTGTAATATTGCAAATTTTCATTAAATTGTTAATGTTTCGTTCAGTTTTCATCGTTTCTTTGGTCTAGAAATGAGGAGTACGCGTCAAGATCGTGTATTAAATGCCTGTAAGAAGGCAACCGCTCTCTTACATACATTGGGGCGCACACTTCTGAACGCTCAATCGCTATTTGTTTATAGCTTCAAATAACAGTAGAAAAAACAAATTTTCACACTGCAATTACTCATAATTTGTAATATTTAACGTGAACTTTCAAACGCCGATCAGGAGAATTACAAAATACCTATTCAATCAAAAGTTATTAACAATTGAATATCGCAAAAATTGCATTTTTCGAGTTTTTAACGGCGTTTATCTCGAAAACTGTACGTTTAGCAAAAAAATTGCAAGAGACATTTTCTTCTTAAAATGGGTCAATGAACAAGAATATTATTTTGCCAAAAACTAAGTTAGTTATCGACATCCGGGCAAACTTCCACCCAAAAAATTCGTGTTCTGCAGCTCAAAATACACAAAAAACACTTGGGTAACTCCATCTAAATGAAGGAGGTAATTGGGACCCCCCTGGCTACAGGACTACAGGAATATGTGGCAGACTTGTCCCGAACTTTTAATGACGCCCTGTATATGTGTATATTAAAGGTCACCCTGTACATAGGTCTTTATATTTAATACAATCGATATATAGTGTTTTTTTTCCTCTAATTTGCATAAAAGGTCCTGTATTTAATTTAGAAATTGGCGACCTGTTGGGGGAATCCTATTTATAGAAGCGAGTATAAGGGGTAATCGCTTTGCCGTTTTACTATTTTTATTACGCGAGGTTCAACGGTCTTCTTGTACAATAAACCGCAACATTATCACGCCGAAACATGTGTACAAATCGTATCGATTAACGCTGGCAATTTATTTTATTAGCGCTGTATTCTTAGGGCGACAAAGGCAGCACTGATTGCCGTTTATGAACTGGGCCGTCTCTCCACTACAGTCTCGTTTCTTTTCAGGTCAATGTTGGTTCCCCTGCTGAAAGAGCCGGCCTTGTCGCTGGAGATTCCGTGATCAAAATCAACGACACAGACGTGTTCAACTTGAGGCACAAAGACGCGCAGGACGTAGTCGTCAGGGCAGGACCGGCCTTCGAAATTACACTGCAAAGGTACGGATACGAAAAAGATAATTTTTTCGACATGTCAGTTTTCAGCCAACTCGGATGTTATTTATTGCTATTTACAATTGAAATACTAAGCAAGAAAATGGATTAAACATACCGCTAAATTTAAATATTTAAAGCCTTGTTTATACAGGGTGTAAAAAAATGTGTACCGTACTTCGGGAAGTTCATATGAACATAGCTGTCTATAGGAAGAAAAATAGTTTTTTTTTTATTTTTAGAAAGTGGTAGAATTTTTTTAAGTTTAGAGGTAGCTAGTATTTTTGAGTTGATTGCAACATTGCACAACCCGTTCTTGAAGTTTGCAAATTCATCAATAATTATGCCAATACGCAAATGACTTAAGATGGCCCTACCAGTAGAAATCTAGTGGATTCAGGTCTGGAGACCTTGCGGGTCAAGCACGAAGTTCACCAAATCCTATGCAGTGTTGACCAAAATAACACAGACACACTGGAGATCCCAGTAGGCTACCTATATGTATTTGGATGTGCTGGATATGAATCAAATAGTTTTACTGTAGCATTTGAGTAAATCATTAAACATTTTACTACTATCATCTCCCGAAGTCCGATACACTAGATTTTTGGCATTCTGTTTATAATAGTTTAACAACCAGTCAAACGTAGCTGTTACAATACTAAATATCGACTCCTATAGAATCATTGTCATCCTTATTTGTACTAATAGGCTATGACTTTCGAGATATTTTATTACATGAATCTTTCAAATGGTCATTTTTGATGAAAAAACCCCGGAGTGCTATTAAATTAGAAGGTGGAAATTGGAGATAGGGGTGAAAATGCACCCCTTTCAGTTTTTTAATTGTAGCTCGAAAATGAAACAAAATTTCTCTATAGTTCATAGGAAAAATTATTTAGAGAATTGAATTTCCCATCGAAATGGCTTATTAAAAAAATTTAAAAGGAACATTTTATGCAAAAAAAACGTTAATAAACAATTTAAAAAAAAAGCAAAAAATGAGATTTTTTGATTTTTTTTACTGTTTTGCTTCTAGTTTTTTTTGGGTAAAGATAGATTCCTTAATAGAAAAAAAAGTAGGTAAAATTTCCTTCAAAATAAGAGGTTGTAAAGTATTTTTGGATGAAAATTGACTGATATATGTCCGCTCAAACTTACAATTAGCCAATTTTTCGATTTCACGTTTACCCTTATACGTTTTAATTATCATTTTTCGCAAATAAGGGAGGAAATAAGATGTTTAAGGATTTTCATCGCATGACTTGTTCGAAGGGTCATTAAAAATGAAAAAACCGCGGGGTGCTGTTAAATTAGAGGGTTGAAATTGAAGATAGGGGTGAAAATGCACTTTTGCAGTTTTTTAAATATAGTACGAAAACGAAGCAAAATTTCGGTATAATTCATAAGAAATATTTTGTAGAGAATTGACTTTCCTATCGAAATGGCTTATTAAAAATATTTAAAAGAAAAATTTTTATGCAAAAAATCGTTAATAAATTATATTAAGAAAAGCAAAAAATAGGATTTTTTTATTTTATTTACTTTTTTTACTTTAAGTTGTGAAAATCTTTATTTATTATTAACAAATAAAACTTTTGAAATAATTTTTTATCATGTAAAGAACCAATTTGTTGTAAAAGTAATAAGAATTATAATCATTATTATGTTAAAAACGACGAAAATCTAAAAAATATTGTCAGTCAATATTGATCCAAACACTTGTGAAAACGCATCATTTTGAAGGGAATTTCATCTAGTTTTTTTTGTACAGCAATTTTCTTTGCCTACTTCTACCTAAAAAAAATTATGTCAAAAAAGTAAAAAAAATAAAAAAATCTTATTTTTTGCTTTTTCAAAATCGTTTATTAACGATTTTTGCATAAAATTTTTCTTTTACATTTTTTAAATAAGCCATTTCGATGGGAAATTCAATTCTCTACAATATTTTTCCTGACCTATACCGAAATTTTGCTTCGTTTTCGTGCTATCTAGTTTTTTGTACAGCAATTTTCTTTGCCTACTTCTACTAAAAAAATAGGAATCAAAAATTCAAAAACTCTTATTTTTTTTTAATTGTTTATTAACGATTTTTTGCATAAAATTTTCCTTTAAAATTTTTTAAATAAGCCATTTCGATGGGAAATTCAATTCTCTAAATAATTTCTCCTATGAACTATAGTGAAAATTCGCTTCGTTTTCGAGCTACAATTAAAAAACTAAAAAACTGAAAGGAATGCATTTTCACCCCTATCTCTAATTTCCACCCTCTAATTCTGCGGTTTTTCCATCTAAAATGACCCTTTGAATTATTCCGTCATTCCTAAAGACTGGTTCTCCAACTACAGTCTGTTTGATTATAAAGGCCCAGAGCTACAAACCGGTTACATATTTTTCTTTATACTGATGCACAAAATGTTTTTTTTAGTCACTCTGTAGATGAGTGGTGATGTCATCGATATTTTTTTTAAATGGAATCGTATAAATTTGTTTGCTATTTGATGATTTAGAAAGCGAGCACCGTAAACTAAAGTCAAAGGCTGAAAGTTCTCTCACTTTTTCTCAAAAATTTCGTTATGCAAAGGCATACAAATTTCATATGGTTGGAAAGAGAATAAAAAAATCTATCGAAACATGCAAAAAAACTTACACAATCCCATTTACAATAACATCGATGATGTCACCACTCATCTACAGTGTGACAAAAAAAATATGCGTCAGTATAAAGAAAATAACATTGCATTTAAAAATGTATATACTTTACAGGATATCCAAAAATGGGTACCAGGGCTTTATAATCAAACATACTGTATATCACAAACGAGGATAATAATTACTTTCGAAACAAACTAGCCTTCTCCTTTCATTACGCCTTGTAACCACCAAAACATTCCGGTAAACAAATTGGCCAGCCTTGATTGGCATTATTGGTCCTTTGCCCACTCGATGATTAGCAGAGTTTATTTTTAACCTTTTGTCAGAGGTGGTTCAACATGGAAACCCTCAGTAATACCTACAGGATCATTCCCGACGCCATCTCCAGTCATCAACAACGTTAGCCCAGTGACTAGGACGTCTCTGACAGCACCAAAGGGCGAGAATATAGGAGCTATCGGTACCGGACACAACCTCTCTGCCAAACCGTTTAGTCCACAGGTAAGAACTATTTATTTCAACAGAATGCTTGTTACCTCTTTGAATAAGTTAACTTTCGATGTTGTTGAATTGTTAGGCTGCAAAATTGGCGTTATTTTTTGCTCCTGTGGTGACGACCTAAAGATTCCATCTTTTGTTGTACCGAACATAAAAAATTGTCAATAGTTTCCACGTTCTTTTTGTCTACGTAGTTAATGTGATTGAGCACGCACCCTCGCTATAAAAGTAAAAAGTTTGTGTTTCTAGAACGCCAGGGGAAGTAAAAAAGATTGAGGTCTGCCTAATATTTTTATAATTGGGGTAAAAAATTACCAAAACCTTGGCAAAAATAAAGGATGTTTAATGATAAGATGGCAGATATCGACTGAAAACTTATTTTTAAAATATATTAGCCCATAGTAGATTATTTGTCTTTGTCTTTAGTAATAGACTCATTTTCCATTTTTTATAAGGTTTATATACAGGATGTACCATGTAATAGGTGTATCTACATACCGTTGACATAAGTAAAAAACAAATGAACGTGAAATATTTTTTAATGAATAGATTTTGAAATGTGTACACTTAGGGTTTATAAATATAAGTATAAAACGTATAGAAACGTATAAAAAAAAACAAACTGTAACTATAATTTCCCAATTTTTGAAAAAATTGACTTTACTCAATACTTCTTATAAACCAACAAAACAATCGCCAATGAACCCAACATTTAAAATTTTTTCAATTTGTAGATGACTATATACAATTTAAAAAGGGTACCTCTGGGTGTATAGAATCACAACGAGTTATTAGATTAGAGACAAAAATGTATTAACACAAGTTTAAAAAAAATTGACGAACAAAAGGTTGTAGAAGGCTTAGCTTAGGATTAGCAATTTTGAGGAGGCTATAGTTTCCACATATGCCCAAACTTAGGGCCTATTTATTAAAAGAAACCCTTGACCTTCATTTGTTTTGTATTGCTGTACAGGATGATCTTTTTATAGTAATTTACTTCTATACTAAAAATACAGGGTGATTCGCAAATGGTTACCAAAAATGGTATTCTTTGATGAATTTTAAGGGTAGTCTTTCCTATAAAGTTTTTATCTAGGACGCTTCGTTAAAAATATACAGGGTGTTAAACTTCAAAAAATATTTTTCATTTTTTTAAATAATTTAAAAATTAGTACGTGAAATAATGTGAAATTGGGCACATGTTTTTATGTAAACATTTTCGAGTAAAACTTAAAAAACCAACTGAAAACACTTTTACTTATATGACATGACAATCACTAATCATTCGGTTATTTATTCGAATAAAGAAATTAATAACATTAGTCATCATTTTAATGATTTTATTTGAGTAAACGCTCAAAAATGCGTCCATTTCCACGAACACAGGCCCGAAATCTTTTTAGTAACGAAAATGTAATTTGTTCGAACATTATTGTTGCCTGAATCTGATGAAAAGCATTATTTATTCTTTCTTCTAACTCTTCAGAATGTCAAAGTTGCTATCGCAGGCTTTTTTCGAAAAACATACGTTAGTTTTTAAATTATTTAAAAAAATTAAAAACATTTTTAACACCCTGTATCTTTTTAACGAAGCGTTCTAGATAAAAACTTTATAGGAAAGAGGGAGGGAGTCTTTAAAATTCACCAAAGAATACGAGGTTTCATTTTTGGTCACCATTGGTGAATCACTCTATATATTTGAATGAGACAATATGTAGGCACATGTAAAATGTCCTGCGGAATCAGAATATGTAGTCAGAGAAACAATAGAACGTCAATTTAAAAAAAATGGCCGAACATTTGTTTAGAGAAAAATATCCTGTATTTTTTGCAGAAAGTGATTTACGACTACAGTAATGCACAATAAGTCATACTTTTGATATCGTATAAGTATAATAATCAACAAAATAAACATTTTTATTTCAATTTTATTTCCAAAACTATTTGAAATTTCAAAACCAAGCTAATGAAAAATAAGTACTGATAATGCAGATTTCCGGTCAAGCCGGAAGTCGAACGAATAAACGACTAACATCTAAAAGTTTATACTGTGACACTGTGACCCTGCTATTTTCTGCTAAAATATATAGAATATATTTAAAAATCAGGCTACTCTATCTCTTTAAACTGATGTTCGATTGTTTTTTGATGGCACATTTGGATTTGCCGTGACTTTTTGAAATATCTTAACAGCAATGCAGTAGGTCGCAATAAAAAAATTCTGGATCGCCTTGTTCACCAACAAATTGGGACACTCTGTGTATGGATAATGCCGTAATAAGTTTATGTTAAAGATGTGTAAAATATACGGACATGGTGTGTGGTTATTACTGGACACAGGTTTGATGTCAGAACAGTGAAATAAATATTATTTGTTATAAATGAGTCACAATGTCGATTTTTGCGATAGATTTAGTTGTCGCCCACGTTAATCAGGGGAAATGTGTCACGTAGACAGTCTGTTGCATAACGCGAGAACTATCTTTTGCTCAAAACCGTGCCAATCTAATTGGTTTATTTTCGGACTGTGACAGAAACAAAGGTGACAATTTTGCGTTGTAATCGAATATAAAATACGAGCCCCTTTCTAGTGGAACAACGTTCTACCAAACTTTCGTCAGGCTATTATTAGAGCCTAATCGAAATCGAAACTGTATAAGAATTGCATGCAACTCGGAATTTATTGAATGGTTTGGAAGTAACTTTTATCGGATATAGCACTTTCTCTCTCTTCCCATTTAACTGGTAGATTAAAAATGACATTTCCATGTTCAACACTAGTCGGAGCAGAGGCAGACGCTTTGCCTGGAACTATTTATATCTCCTTTCATTGATTAAACATTCGAAACAGTAGCGAAAAAGCGTCGTAAATTTTTTTTTAGAAATATGAAAGTTTCGTTTTTGTATATGTCGTCGTTAACTTATATGACTCGTAAAATTGCCGTGAAAATTTCTGTCACACGCTCGAAGAGTGTGGAAATCAATTAACGGAAAATCATTAGAGCCAGTAATTGGTTAACCACAGACCAAAACACTGTTTTAGAAATATTTAGGTGAAAACTTTTCTAAGAAGAGGTTATACAACTCGCTAGAGTGTTAAATTTTACTCCCACAGCATAATAAATTAAATAATTAATAAAGTTAGCTTTAGAAGTCGGTTTGGAAACCTATTTTAATGTATAGTCTGACAAAAAATCGATATCTACAGTGGTATAAAGTGAAACGTGTATTTCGTAGCATCGTTGTTAATGACGTTGTTTTCTTCGTTTCTAGGTGAATGGTACTGTAAACGGTGGACCAAAGGTAGTGAACAAACAGTACAATAGCCCTCTGAAACTCTATTCCGAAGAAAGTATCGCTGAAACGCTTTCAGCTCAAACTGAAGTCTTGTCCACAGGTGCTCTAGGGTAAGCAGAGCTCAATTTGTGTGAATTATTCTTTATTTTTACATTTGGGGAAAGGTATATAAAAATTACGAAATTCTCTCTATCATGAATTAGTCTTTATTTTAGATTGTTTGATATTTTTGACTGTTCAATTCTCGATTTTTATTCTAATTCGATCTTACTTACCAAAACTTGCTAAATAATTAACGTCAATATGACAGCGATAACAAATCAGCGTTGCTCTCAAGTCTTTCTTTACAATTTTGATTTCGTTGAATCGACTTCAAATTGTCAGGTTTGGTTATTAATTTTATTCACAATTTTGATGCGAAATTTTCTTACAGAATATTGTACGAGCACTGGCGATATTAATTAAAATCGACAATTTTTGGACAATAATTAAGATTAATATTCCTTGTATCAAACATCTGTATTTATCGACACATTCGTATACAGTGAGCGGCAAAAGTATGGAATATATTTATTTAGAAATCAGACGTTCTTTATTTGCAAAATCGCTCGGACCCGTCGAATTATATTTTTAGATGCGCATTTTCTGAATCAATTTTCATTTATACAGGGTAGCCCAAAAAAAGTTATGAAATCAAGGCCAACTTTTTTAAACGGAAACCCCACTTTTTTGTATTTTTACTCAATTCTCCATGGAATTCTGATCATTTTTTATGTAACATAACCTATACCTATCTTTAACCATTTTCGAGATAATGGCGTCTGAATATAGAATATAAAAATTTTCAAAAATTACCCTGAGATTTAGCCTGCTGGTTTTAAAATAAAACCAAGTTTACTTTTCCATCTTAGATTTGTGTGGTTCACAGAAAGTTGCTTTAAATCAGAAAAATCCATAAGAAATAAGTGGTTCGGTGATTTATTTTGATCATTAGGAATGACTTGAATGTAAAAAATATAAGTGAGGTATTTAGGTATAATTTAATTAAAAACGCATAATTCTATTGTATAAAATATGATTTTGTTAAATGTCACTATTTAAATTACGAGCCAGGTTATTTTTCAAATTTTTAGCACCGTTTCATGTTTTTTTGTAAACACAAAATACAAACACACAAAATGTATTTAGCAGAAAGTACTCCAGTTCCCACTGATTTTGACGTTACGGTCCTTACGTATCGAGAGTAATTTTTGAAAATTTTCCATATTCTATATTCAGACGCCATTATCTCGAAAACGGTTAAAGATAGGTATAGGTTATGTTGCATGAAAAATGATTAGAATTCCATGGAAAATAAAATACAAAAAGGAGGGGTTTCCATTTAAAAAGGTTGGCCTTGATTTTATAACTTTTATTTGGGTCACCCTGTATAAATGAAAATTGCTTCAAAAAATGCGCAACTAAAAATATAATTCGACGGGTCCAAACGATTTTTCAAATAAATATATTCCATACTTTTGCCGCTCACTGTATGTAATATTTTACCGAAATTTTCAGTTGTCAGTTAAATAAAAAAGATTCGGCTTGGGACATAATTTTTTGCTTAAATTTTAAAGAAGTTCTTTTATTATGAAGTTTAAAGTATATGATAGATTCTTTTTGACAACTAATTTTTTTTTTTTGGATATCGTGATCGGTCAACTAAAAAATGATTTTTTCTCGGTTATTTCTAGAAAAAGTTGAACCAAATTTAACTTTTAAGCTTCTATTATTGTCTGTCTCGTTTTTATAGGTTTGCGTCTTTGTTCATTCAAATGCCAAATTTAAATGTCATGTGCCATGGCATTGTCTGTGAAATTAGATATCGCTCGTAGATTTATTTCTATTCTTTTGTTCATCAAATTCAATAAAAAAAAATTATTAGTTCGTTGATATTTATTTTTAGAGGTCGCTCGAAAACATAGGTACACTACTTTGAAAGGTAAAATAATAATTATGAGTGACCTTTACAAATTAAAATATCGATTTTAAATTTTCAGAATTAAGATTTTTTTCAACCTAGAAAATGATAAAATAACGAGACAAAAAATTAAGAAAAAAATTTAATTTTTGACGATTTTGGAAATTTTTTAAAATCTTGAGCGATCTCTAAAAATTTTTTTTGAGATGATTTTTTGAGGAGGCTCTTAAAAAATGATAAACTAACATATTTTCCACAGGAGACATGAAAAAAAATATTCGTTTTTTTTGGGGTATCCTACTGTCCACTGACACGAAATGAACAACAGCTTGGCTGGCATGATCTTATATTTTCAGTTTTGGTTATAATCATTTAAATTCGAAACGTCAGGTTTAATTTTTTTATGTGTCGAATTCTGGTAATTTTTTTTACTCAGTACCACACATGCTTAAACTATACAAAATATCGACTCGATATTTTGCACTAAGATGCACCATAAATCCGAACGGATTCGTCACGATTCAGCGTGAAGAGGATGTTTACAATTTTTCTTCTAGAACCGTTCATCTAGGTGCCAATTTGTTTTATTTTAAAACCGCTCATGTTAAATATCAACACTCCGCCACGATGAAAATAGCCGAAGCTGCGGCCGCGTCACGTACTCGTATCACACGGTTATCTAAGCGGTTGCACATCTCGCTGTAAACACGACGATTTTTTTTCCTCTGCGAAGGAATCCGCGCAAAACCGCTGGATATTTGCCACGCGTCGGCTTTGTTATGTCTTAAGTAAACGGAAAATGAAGCGTCATGACGTAAAGGGACGCCCTTGCACGCTGTTTAAAATGCCAGGAGAAGACAGAAGCCTGTAAATATTTAGATAAATTGTATTTTGCGCCCACGCACAAAGAAAAGTAATTTTCTGTCTTCAGTACCTCATCAATGAAAAAAAAAAACTACAAAGGAAATGGAACTCCTATGGCTTGGCAATTTGTAACCCTTCATTTGTTTTATACACCTTCATTTGTTTTAGTCTAACAAATAAGAGTAAACTTCCACAATTTCACTAGACCTTCTGACGTGACCTTCTGAATGAAGATACAACAGCATATGCAAACCAGCAAATACAGATGAGCGGAAATCGTATGACGCTCATATCAGACCGCGTATCGTTTTTAGTCTGTAGAGACCCTCAACAGTTCCCCGGCTGTGTGCAAGAAACAGAGACCCATTTAAAAAATTTCCAGTTTTCAGTCTTTAACCATTCTAAACTAAAAGGAAGATCAATAAAGAAAAGTTATATGAATATTCTTATTCCTTTTTTCATGCTGTATAAAATGTTTTGGGACCGTCCGGTACATGATCAGCATCTCTATGAGTCCTTTCTACGTGATAATTTGCATTGCTGTCGATTTGACAATTCAGAGGAAATATCTCTTAACAATTTTTAGGCAAATAGTTATAAATTGTTAAAATTTTAACGAGGTTTTGAATTTTTCAGTGTTAACTTTAAGAAAAACGAAAAGAACTACGATGCTTCAAACAGTGCAGTCCTGCGCATGCTTCAGGAATCCGAAAACGAACCTAGAACGGCCGACGAAGGTAAGAGAGAAAGGGACAATATTCTCTTTATTACAAATCTCGTTTTTTATTTTAATCATTGTTCTTTAATCTTGTGTATTCACTTTTCAAGGTATATTTCAAATAAATTTAATTAATTATTTCAAAATTGCGATATAATTGTTTATGTAAATCAGTAAATTATTCAATATCTTAATGAAAAAAAGTGGTATACTGTTCACGGATGATGTTGAAAAGAGATAAGATGAAAAAAGTTATTGTTGTAAAAAAATCTCTTCGTGTTCAAATGCACAAAAAAATAGTTTTAAGTGGTCCCACATATACAGGGTGTCTTCTTCAAAGAAATTATAGAAATATCCATATATTCATGTATTTTATAGTCCAGTCACTGAAGGCGAAAATAAGGTGAAGGCTCCCAATTTTTTCGGAAAGCATGAATTTTCCTGAAAATTTGCATACAAGCTCATCTCATCCTCCCACTTCAAAAGTTATATTGTCTAGATGTGTTTTTTTCTATTTGGGGGTGAAAACTACCCTTGTATGAAAAAAATGCGAAAATCGCAGATTTACGTATTTTAAAGATTCAGTTCATGTTGGAATATGTTGGATAAAGTTCCTTTCATGATTTTTAATATAATTTATGAAATTTAATTACTTTTCAACCCTTAAAAATCCTTAAAAACTACCCATCCATGGCCAAAAAAACTAGAAAAAAAAGTTTTTAACAGTTTAAAATATTGTTTTGGTGCATTCACAATGTATTGCATTTCTTTTGTTATATAATATTATTGAAAGCTTGAGATGTTTTGGTATGTATATGTTGAATTATAAACTTTTTATTGGTTTTCAAATGACCTATGATATATTGCAACTTTTCAGCCACTCAAATAACCCTTATGGAAGACCTACCCCTCATAAAGAACCCTACCCCTTATAGAAAAATTTCCTAAAAATTATACGTGAGTATAATGATATCATATATTTTTTTTAATTTTATTGAATTTATTCTTAATATTTTTTTATTAAATTAATATCAAATAAAAAAAATATTTACATTATAAATGGATGTATTGTACAAAATGTTTTAAAATTACAAAAATTGATGGTCATTTAAACGGTCTGAAAATTTTACCGAAAAAATGCAATTAATTTTTTTTCCATAACTTTTGTAATTTTAAAGTTATAAATTTACTCAAAAAACCGTTTTGTAGGGAATTTAAAGCACTTTAAGATCTGTGATTTGTAGTTTTTTTAGCCCTTCGTTTTTTAGATTTATAAGCTAAAAGGGCTCAGGAAAGGCGGTCTTGGAGCTTAGTTTTGAGTTTCTAACGGTCATAATTGTTCAGTAAGAAAAAACCTACAATTTCTTATTCTATCATTTTTTTATAACTTTGTTAGTTTTTGAAATATTTTGAAAAAAGGCGATTTTTAAAAAAATTGAAAAATTTTATTCAAAAGTGTATTAAATATTTTTTTAAATTTAGGTTTCTAAAATCGTTCAAATTTCCAGAATCTACTGTTAATACACAAATAAAGTAAATTGCAGAAGGAATAGGTTTTTTTTCCGTCAAGTCAATTTTAATACCGATTTTTTTTCTCAAAAATCAAGACAATCATTTTATTTTGATTGTAACTTCATTAGTTTTCATACTAACGACTTTACCACTTACCACTCAATTTAAAGGTCTTTTCAAAAACTTTAATAAGTGTTATATAAGTTTTCCTCGAAAAGCCTTTAATATTTCCGCTACAGGACGTTGAACGTTTCGATTATAGCTATCTTCGACATTGACTTCAACTACTGGGAGTCATAACTCGGGTTCTATACCACCTACAAAAATAAAAAAGCAATCTCTTTGCTATTTAATTACCTTCATTTTTGCTTAAGATCATTTTTTTGATAAAACGTAGTTTTTGAAATATTCGCGGAAAGTGGCTCAAAACCATGCATTTTTGGGCTAAAAACGAACATGTCTAGGCGCAAATAACTCAAAAAGTATTGACTGTACAAAAAATTCTTATAGAACATTTTTTCCTTAGAATTCGCCCCTCCATCGAATCGTGGGGTTATTTTTAATAAAAAAAATTCTCACCCTCTAGAAGGGGTGGCATCCACCCCTAGGGTATGAGCACACATCGGCACTATATAACTTTTGTTTCTTGAGCTATTCCCTAGCTACAGTTCAAATTTCACGTCAATCCATTCCATCCAAAAAAATTGATAACCAAAATGCTTCAGCGACTGGACTATTAATATTGATATTGAAAATTTGACCCTCGTTTTTACAGAGAAGAAATTATTACAGGCATACTTAGGTATATTTAGAAATAAAATTTATAATCAACAGTTGTATGAAAAACTATATAACTATAATAGGGTGTTCGTTAATTCGACTGTTAAATTTCTACAGGATATTCCTTGCACTATTGCAAATAGTTCAAATGAACTATGAGGACAAGAGACAAGGAAATTATTTTTTTTTCATAGTAGCAGCTGTGACAAAGTCAGTTCCGCGCAAACTATGTTTTTATGATTCTGTATTAATATGAGTCACCAATAACCATAAACATTTGCTACTGATAGAAGAAATTTGGAAAAATAATCATCAACATGTCATTTTCAAGCTGTGGGTGACGTACAAAGTATATGTCATATCTTAAATCTCTTAAATGTCATTGGCTACTATTAATAGGTTACTCTCTGCTAGGCAAACACACTCATAACATTTGGTAGATCAAATATCTTTCTTCACATATCTTACTAGATACTGGGGATGTAATTCCACAATATCATCAATTAAATACAGTTATATCTTCGTAAGAATTGATATCTAGTTCATTTGAACGATTTATGTTAATTATGGTCAACGAATACCCTGTACAAGTTTGTCAATGGAATTAATTATAATCGGAGTAAGTAATTTAGCTCAGACATCAACTACAACAATTTTTTTTACATAACCCTTCACTCTGAACGATTTTGTCCCCTCTTACCACCCGTTTTTCCACACTGAAACGCAGAGCCGGAGTCAGGAGTGGTGACAGCACCCAACAGTGGGATAGCCGGACTCAGGCACGTCAAAGCGCCGGAGAGCCGCCCAGCGCCCTCTACACCCCAACTACCACCAGGTCAGAACATTTGTGCTGACTGCGAACGCCTCATAGTGTAAGTATTTTCAGCTTTACAGGCGCTTGGAAACGGTGGACGTGGGCAACAAACAGTTCTCGTAGGTGCAGCGAGTAGATTTTGACGGAAAATTGGTACGGATAGGTCGACTGTGGAGGTAGTTCGGTTATTATTTAGAAAATCCATGGACGAAACAAACGATGACCACTTCCACTCGCCTTCCTGAGCGTGGTCCAATTGAACCGAGCACGTAACTCACTCACTCGACCTGCCTCTCCGATTTTCCGTTCGTTTTTCGTCCCTTAAACGTCAGCTCACGGCACATTTCTGACATTGAACTTTTGTTTCTCCCCCACAGTAGTCCGCTCCGAATATTACTCGACCCAAAGCCACGCGATCGGCGGTCGTAAGACCGTCACCCCGAGCATTAACGTGCCCTTAGACGATCGCAGTCGATCTAGCAGCTTGCCGGGCGACCCCCCAAAGCCTAATAACCCCACCGAAGGTGTCACAGTCTGCACGGACTGTGAACGGGTTATTGTGTAAGTCGGAGGATGTTGGGTCGATGTTGTTTACTTCTTGTAGATAGATCTAGATCTATGTGTTCGTTGCTGCTGTCCACTTCCTCTATCACAGACACTTTTAGAACCTCGAAAGGGATAGGGCTAGGGTCGCAATATCAAATTGAGTTGGATTAAGGTCCAAACATATCACTTTTTACTTTTATTCTTAGTAAAAACTATACTTCAGTACCAAAATAGTAGACAGTAGATTATTTAATACTACAAAATAATTTTGTGTATTCTCTGCGTAAAAATTGTAATGTGCTGTTCATTTCGCATAGTGTTCCGGTATGTACGGCCTGCGCGTGCGCGCACTTGGTACATTCCATTGTTACAGCCGCTATTTCTATCTTTGTTTATCATGTACAAAAAGAGACGCAACTAAGGCTGGATGGTTCGATTTCTTAAAATCTTAAAATCCCGCTCTACCTCGGCTTCCAGCTGAGACGTGTCAGTGCGTGTCATAAGCGTACAAGTTGAAAAAACGTGTGCTATTGCTTTCATATATTCGTTATTCCACTGTTAAAGATGCAATCGCGTGTTAGTTGATAATCAGGGTAGTTGTACACGTTCAAACGTAACAGATCAAGATGGTAAATAATGTGTATAAAGAAATTCAATCATGAAACTTGGATATATCGATGGATGAGAAAGTGGAAATGTACAGAACTTTAACAATAGTCTCTGTCAGAAGTGTTTATGGTGCAACAAAAAGTGGTGAAAATGTAAAACATAAAGCAAGTGGCAGAAAAACTGAAGTGAATATGGATTTTCGGATAATAGAGATTACCATGAGGAAGAAGATTACCATATGGATAGTGCGGTATTTGAAAAAAACAATTTGCATATATTTTACCTCACATCGAACCTGGTGCAGTGATTGTCATGGATAATTCGCCTTACCACAGTCCACCAACAGCAAAATTGTGAACATCCGCACATAGAAAAGGACAAAACATATTGAATATAAAGACAGTGTGTTACGATTAACAATTGCCCAAAAAGGAAATGTGTTGTGGATGAAAGGGCTAGCAGATTGTGATAAAGGGTAATTATTGATTTTAGCAACGCTAATAACGGTTATTTCTTATGACTTATCGGTCTTTTTAATGAACTTTTAGTTGTTTTATCGATCTTGTGTCGCTTGATTGTTATAACACTACGTAAGTACATTTTTCGTAGTAGTCTCTTGTTCAGTTATATAGATCGCTGGCTACGTCCTCTAATAAACAAAGAAGAAAACAATATACGCATGTGGTATTTACCTATGAAGGCAGAATTTCTGAGTATTTTGTTTAGTATAAATAAAAAAGTACTTTGGCGTACAATTTTTGAATCCTCTAAAGTGATACGCCCATGGAATCGCATTCTCCGCACGCCTTACCGGTCGCACTGATCTACATGTTGACAATGAGTCGCTACCTACTGTTTAGGTGCTGGAGTATGCAAATCTAAATGAATTAAATTGAAACATGTTCAATATAATATTCAGGGTGTTTGTCAGTATCCAGTAGAATACCTCAAAGTAAGCACAAAAGTCTTAAGCAACATAGGTCCTAAGCCTATCAGTTTCAAAGATATCGTATAAGGAATAATAAACTGTTTCTATTTGTTCTGGCTACACAGCGTTTGTACTAATACACATAAATATGTAAAAAACAATGAAGCGTTGTTCGTAAACATATGAGCAGATTGGATTGAATGAAATTTGTTGTCGAGGTTTTGGTTCAGGGTGAGGAATAGCACTGCCAGTATCCAAGCCATACAGCTTTCCAAACGGTTTTAGGATCCACATTTTAAAGAACTTTTTTGTTTATTTTGATCTACGTTACGGCAATTACGCTGCGAGTACCCTGTATATTATCTTTTTTAATAATTTTATTTAATTGCGGTCTATCCCTTTAACTCAAAAACCCCGTACAGCATGTATATAGAAACTATATTTCTCAATCTAGTAGATTGATACAATTTTCTACTACAGTTGTATCAAAATGTATTTCTTCACACTCTCAAAAATGCATGTAACGCACAAACAGTATGTTTCTTTTTTTTGGGCATATATCCACACTACTTTTGAATTATGCCAAACTTACATTTATCTGATTTATAGAATTAATTCTTTGTTAGAGATTTTTAAATGTGGTTTGTCCTTAGTTTAGGCTAGGTACGAAATATACATTAGATAGTATCTGCTAGGAAATTCTTTAACAACTAAAAAATCTGCCTTGGATTATTCTTATAGTTGTTTGTACTGTAGAATAATACAAATTTTGAAATTTAATTCTTGTTAACGTTATTTTTTTACATGTTAATCAGATTCTGCTAGAATCGACAGGGCTATAATTCCAGACTGTTAAATTTTTTCTCATAAATTATACATCTTCGTCTCTGTTCCAGTGGAGTATTTGTAAGAATCAAGGACAAGAACTTGCACGTCGAGTGCTTCAAATGCGCAACTTGTGGCACGTCTCTTAAAAACGTTGGGTAAGTCCAACAATGTAAACAAATTAGAAATAAAAAAGTAAAAACATGTATTCGTCTCACAGCTACTACAACATCAACAACAAACTTTACTGCGACATCCACGCCAAATCAGCCGCTATCAGGATCAACGCTAACCCCAATTTAGTACCTGTAACAGTACCACCGTAAGTACTGCGCACCTCAGGGTTCAAACCTCGGGCCCTTCTTATTTAAAAGTGTTACTGATGACGCGGTTTCTTGTTTCAGAGGTGGAAAACCGCCAGTTCAGGCTATATCTTCGGCACTAGCATCTCACTCACTGCCCACATCCTCACCCCTATCGCCAAAAATAAACAACAGCTTCTCTTCACCCTACCAGGTACAGTACGTCGCAAGGCAACCGTAAAACTGCTCGCGCCAGCAAAATAATATCACCTTCATTTTAGCAATTACAGAAGCCGTTCTATTCCACTTGTGAATCTTTCTTATTTTTCTATTTTCATTTTATCATTTGACTTTTATTTTGCTGCCGATATGCACTTCTCTAATTTTTGACACAGTGCCGTCTGCATGTCGCACCTCTAATACCCATAATCCAACTTTTAGCCGCAGGAAACAAATGAGAATGCCGACGTTTCACCGCCATTGCCAAATTTATCAACTAATGTAACGTCTGAAGCTAACAATAACAATAATTCATTATATAATAATTCTGCCCCTCTATCATTCAGCAAATACTTGAATAAGGTGAGTTTCTGACAAATTAATCGAATGAGCGAAGTATACAGTGTGTTGGGAGTTTGACTGTCGTAAGTTCAACATTAAGCTTAAATGATAAGAAAAAAATGCGAGTTTTGGGGAATTTTACCAAAACTAGTTAGTTTATTAAAATTAAACCTAAACAAATTTAAAGAAGTGGCAAACTTTGCACTAAATGATATTCTATTGAGCTTCTTTAATTAACAAAAGGTTTGTACATCAACTTTGGAATTTGATAATTTTTTCTCGAGTAGTTGGGTTTTTGTTTATTTTGATGATTAAAAATATCTGACTTCTAACCCATTGTATATATTCACTTACAATCAAAATTTATACCGTAATTTGAAAACTTACGATAGTCCTAATGGCGATGGAGATTTACCAGTAGTTCTCAAACTGTTGCCAGTGCTGAAGACAATTTCTACAAAATAAAAACTCATAGAATAGAAACCTTGGTGTATTTCATTTAATATTAATGTCTAAAATATTTATCTATAGTCTGTTTAGAAATGAAAGAGAGTAATAAAAGCTCATTATGTATACAAATCGTAAATAACTGTAGTACTGGTGCTTATATTCAATACTTTTATATTATGTATTTTCCGTATAGATGAGGTCTACTTTTAACAAAACTTTGTGCGATCGGACTGTACTAAATTGTAGCGGGTAGCTAAAATTTAATCCCCGACAATCCGTGTTTGTCTATGCCGCTTCAATTTCTCGGTCCATTTCCCTTATAAGTAAACAATAAAACAGCATTTCAAAACATGAGGCTACTTTAAGCATCATAACCGGGTTAAGAGGGTTTTTAGTAATTCAAATAAAATTACTTATTCAATATTATTATCAAAATATTTATTTAAATTTAATGAATAGACTTTTATTCCACACAAAAATATATGTATTTTGAAAATTCAAATTATGGTGAGTAAATGTAGTGTTGTATAAATGTACAATAAAGAAAATAAAAAAGTAGGTATATTAATATTCATCCTCTGAAAATTCTGACGAATTATCTTCGTCTCCTAGATTGATAACGATAGGTTCCACAGTAACGTCAATTAAATTATCGAGTTCCCACATTTTCTCCTCTTCTTTTTGTACATTATGTATACATTTTTGCCAGTTATCTGCAGTTACTCGTTCCAAGGAATTTTTTAACAAAATTTTCACGTCACTTAATTTAAACGTCGTATTATTTACATCTCCTTTTACCTGCGCCCAGACTAATTCGATTGGGTTAAGTTCACAGTGATAAGATGGTAACCGTAGTACCGTTATTTGGCGATTTGTTGCCATTTCATCGATAACATATTTTTTCTGATCTTTATTAAGATTGACAAGTGTCAAAAGTTCCTTTTTCACCATATTTGTTTCAAAAGAAATGTTTTTTCCGGATAACCATTGAATTATATCGGCTTTCCTCCAAGCAGTCCTAGGCGTCCGCTCGGTCTGCCGTGAATGGTATTATCCATGACAATTACAGACCCCGGAGGAATAAGATCCAACATCTGTGTAAAATACTCTTCGAAAACATCTGCGTTCATGTCTTCGTGATAGTCACCTGTATTTTTAGACTCAAATAAAAGTAAACCGCCATCTACAAAACCACTGGCACTACCTATATGTGTCACTATTAATCTTCGCCCTTTACCTGAAGGTGCCTTGAGCCCTATTGAAAGTCCATCCAAAAATGCTTGTCGAAAACTTTTTACATTTTTATTTTGCCATACTTTTGTTACAGTATATCCCTCGTTGACCCAAGTTTCGTCTAGATAATAAATATTCCTCCCTTCGTCACGGAATTTTCTAATTATTGATTAAGTAGGATCTTCGCCAACAAATAATTTCATCTTTATCGATAAGAACTGACTTCCTGTTCTGCTTTTCCCAGCAAAAATTCAACTCTCGTAAGACGGCCCATAATTTGCTTCAACTGATTTTTGGCAAATCGTTGTCCTCTGAAAGTTCACTTAAAATTTTGTTTAGGGTTGGTATTTCTTTTTTAAAATAAAATTAGTGTACTTTAGTCACTAAACACAAGTCGAATTTTACTCTACTGCACTAGCACGTCTTCTTATATTCAGCTCTAAGACTGGATTGATCTGTCACAATACACTGGCTCCTGCCCTACCGATAATTACCTGAAACGAAATATTAGCGCGCCCATGGCCGGTTCTTATCTCGGGGTTTTATTACTCTCTTTCATTTCCAAACAGAGTATAGAGGAAAGTATAGATGAAAAATAAAGGTATACAAACAGTTTGGGAGCCGCAGATTTTTAACTATCAAATTTTTATTGGACACCTTAAGATTTCACTTGTAATATCCTATAGGCTGTAATACACATTCATGTTACGTCCTTCGTTTTATGTCAGATGTATTAATACTAACACTCATTCCCAGCGCATAGTCATGTTTTATTAATACACTTCCAGTCTTCGACGAGCTTCTCTGGACCAAAACCATTTTCGAGCGTCAGCGCACCACTTTCTCCACCCAGCACCCTTCCTCGAGCAGCGCCTTTGTCACCGATAACGCCCACAGCAGCGCCCTCTTACAACGCGCCCTCTTACAACGCGCCGTCTTACAGCGCGCCATCCTACAAAGCGCCGTCTTACAGCCCTGCATCATCCGCAGGTAAGTTTCGTTGCATACCCCATAGATCAATGAGATAAATTAGATGATTCTCTACTGTACCGCATATAAAAAAGATATAGAGAAGTAAGGTGCTAGTGGAAATCTACTGTATCCACTTAAAATTGAAAGACGTTTGAATCACCTTTTCACAAAACTTTGTGACCTTTTCTGTTTTTTATAACTTGCCATATTAAAGATAGTGCCTTGCATGAAAACGTGAAATTAGATTGAAGTCAATAGGAATAAGTTTGCGACTGAGTTGGACCCGCTTACAGATGCACTGGACATCTCACTCTATATCGCTCTTTCTGAATGCGTTCTCACTTATTCCTGTTGAGCTTGTAATAGTGTCGTACATTATTCATCGTATATCTCTAAATTTTCTTTGTATGCGGCAATGTAGCTCTTTTTTGAAAATCCCCTTGGTTAGAATATTACCGTTTAGCTCCGTACCATGTAGATGATTAGTTGTTGTTCCCTAGGACGATTCTCTTCTGTTAAACCAGCGGGTGGCCTGTTTAAAGGTACATTTGCAGTTTAACAAAAAACCGCTTCTTTGCCCATAGCCTAAACACGTAGTTATAGATTTAGTAAAATAGTATAACGCGTCCTCAATATAATTTAAAACATCAGAAGAATATTTCAGGGTTCGTGGTAATTATTAATATGTTTATTATCTTCTTTCAGATCAATCATTTAATGCCAAGCCTCGCCCCTTTTCCCTAGTACTAGAATAATATAGGAAGCGTGCATCCTAGTTGAATTGGCTAACAGCTTACTTGTTACACAGCGCATTTAATAAAAGGGGACTTGGAAGGAGCCATTTTCCAAATTCAACAAGTCTTTCATAAATTCGGGCATTCCTCCAGGTCCCTTCTTACCAAATATAACATTTTTTATCACTTTTGACTTGATACATTTTTGGATACATTTGGATGGATGATTTTTTCGCGATGAGCGCAATGTTATACTATTTTATAATATATTTAGGTGCTTACAGCTTATTAACTTTTTATTCTCTTTACAACCCGGTTCTCTGAACCTTTGTGCCATTCCTTTTGTTTGTTTAACGCGTGTGATGTGTACTGTGTGTTTGCCTCAAACAAGGCCGTAGCGCCCAAGGTATAATTTGGCCTCCTCCTCAAGAGGAACCCGAGATACCCACTGCCTGTCCCCTATTCTACCCCCCTCCCTCACAGGTTGAGCAGGTCATACTGAGCAAGCGCGGCCAGAAGGAAGCAGAATTAGAAAGTGAGTGGTCGGAGTGTCGGGAGGTGGAGGAGATCAACGACATGGCGCAGTTCTTGCCCAAAATGTCTTTCTGTTCGGAGGAAGTATCTAGTTTGACCGAGCATCGAAGTGCTGTCGAGTGCGTGGAAACTATAGCGGAGACCTTAGAGACCCAAAAGCTCGTAGAAAACGTTCTCAAAACAAGATCTAGATCTCCCCCTCCTATAGGAGCGGACATCCAACCGTCTGAGCCTCCTAAACCGAAGCCTAAAAGTAATCCGACCCCACCAGCTTGTCCTATGTCGTTATCACAAGACGTTTGTTGTCAAAGGAGGGATAGTTGTGAGCTGAAGAGGCCGACGCAGTTCACGCCCAATACAGTGGAGTGGCAATTACCCAGCAAAATCGATAATGTTGTGCCTCAAAAGTGGGAATCACCTCTAACTCAAGCCCTGCGTACCACCGAACCAGATCCCGATACGTTTGCTCAAATTCCATCGAAACATTCTGCTAGTGCTCTAGCATCTGCTTTGTCGATAGCACCATCATTGCCTTTTACTCCTGCTTTTACACCAGGCAAGCCTGTTCCTTTACCAGAAGAAACAGTACCGTATATGCCGCCCGAGCGTCCAGTTCTACCAGTCGAACCTAAAGAACCGAAAGAACCTAAGCCGAGACAAGAAAAACCGAAAAGTAAATTCGTGAAAGCCCTAGAAACAGCGCCAGAAAGACCCTTTACGCCAGTTGGGGCATCACCTACTCCTATAAAGAAGAAACCTAAAGATCCCACAGACAAATATTTTACAGATCTCCCAAAACCGCACGACAGAATTTCTTTGTTGGCGGCTCTTACTACAGCTCCTGATAGACCGTACTCACCGCTGATTGTAGAGAGTGTGGGTACAAAGCAAATAGAAGCAAACGTAGAGTGTAAAAGGAAAGATATAGACAGATCCGTGTTGACTAAACCTTCAAAACCTGAGGTTCTTCCTCCATCTTTCAACATTAACAAAAAGGAACCTAAACCTCCAAGCTATTACCCACCATCTGTCCTCTATCAGAGGACGGAGGAAAGCAAAAGCGAGGAACACACCGAGGAAACAAACACGAGCGAGACTAGAACGATCGAAAGACAAACAATTCATAACCCTCAAATGACGCAAATAATTGTTGAAGGCGAAGAAAGCAAAGAACACAATTTTGCTCCCATGTTTCAAGCTGTTTCGTGCTACTATCATAATAAGAAAGACAATTTCTCTATAGAAATATCAACCACACCTCCTATTCCTACACCGCCTCCTAAACCTGCTACGCCGATTATAAAAACTGTAGAGAGCAAACCGGGATACATAGAGAAAGAAACAGTCACGGAAGAAAAGCGCGCGCGTCAGCAGACGACGAAGAAACAAGAACAGTATAAGGAAGAGATAAGGGCGGAAATGAAAGCTGCTAAACAAGCCGAGGAAGTTGTTCTAAAGAAAGCTGCACCGCCTGTACATTTGCACAAACCCGAGGGCCTCCCTTCGTATCAGGTGCAACTGTCAGAAAACGCTGAAGCGGATCTTAAGCTGATGGAAAGAATGCAGAGGGCTCAGAGTCGTCTTGAGCAACAGAAACTGTCCAAGGCCCAAGAGATAAGTGAAGAGCGACACCAACAACAGATCCTTCAACAGAAGCAACAGGTTATTCAACAGCAGCAACAACAGATATACCAAGAACAACAGATGAGACAGCAGATGCAACAACGTCAGCAGTTAGAGGTTACAAGAAAGCCTGTCATAACTATAGAACCGGACACTCCTGCTCCTGCAACAACTTTCAAACCTGTCGTCGAAGACAGACCTCCGAGCACATTTTCACCTCGTCCTAGATCCGTCACTCCTAGCATGATCAATAAACCGCCACCATTACTGCCTTACTACCAATCAAGTTTGGCTCCTCAACACATGCCTCCAGTTACAGCCAACCTCTTAGATCCAAAAAGTCCTGCTATTTCTCGTTCCCCTAGTCCCGCTCCAGGGGCAAGAAGTCGCAGTCCTTCTCCTTCACCCTTTCCCCGTGAACAAAGGGCAGTGTCTCCTGCCCCGGGACCTCCAGAAAATCCCTTAAAGTCTTCTCGACCACTCCCCACACCGCGAGATAGCAGATTGGAACAGGCCAGAGAGAATATAACTACGTTTATACCAGAATACAAGAGTAAAAGAGACTTAATCGAACACGTTCAAGGTATGGATTATTACGAACGATCTCGAGAAGAACGTCATCAGCAACATGTTGCCCAAAGAGGCCAAACCCAACAGAAACAGTCTGCAATAGCGCAAACCCAACAGTGCGCTCAACCAACACAAATGTACGTATCGCAGGTGCGTACTGAAACCTACCCTCTTCAGCAACGAAGGGCAACTGAGTATGAAAGTGTGGTCTCCGAAAAACAGAGCATGCAACGCCAGAAAGAAATTTGCGAGTCTCAAAAGTTGGACGTACAGGAAGCTCAACGAGCTCAAAAATATCTTTCTACGACTTCTGAAGGCGTCGTCGCTACGGCAATTTCTGAACAGTCTCACAGTGCTCACCTTGAACAGATGAAGAAATCTCAAAGTCAAAGCGTTCAGAAATCTACAGACGGTTCACGTCAAGTTCAGAGAAAAACGACTGTGACTGAAGAATACGAACGCTCACAAAAGGAAACCAACATCCAGATCGAAAAAAACGTTACCACTTGCAAAAAATATCCATTTCATGACATAAACGCTCCTTCTGTAGAAGCCCCTGTGTCTATACCAATACATCTTACGAATCCTCAACCCTTGTCCGTGACAAGGTCTTTTGGGCAGGCTTCCCAGCAGCAATCTCAGCAACTGGCCAGTTCTTTGCAACAATCATCGCTTCAGCAGTCATCATTGCAACAGTCTACTGCTTCTTCAGCCTGCGAAAGGACCTGTAAGGACGTCTGCGGAAAAACTACTTGCTCGAATATAAACGCGGCTCAAGTGTGCCCGAATAAACCTCAACCTGTCCCAAGCCAACCCTCTGACTCGAAACCTCCTCCAGTGAAACACGTTTTTGCTCCGAGCTCCATAGCCCCTTTGAAACACGTCGATCCACCGGGTTCCTCCAGAAAACCTAATCACAATGTAATTAGACCCAATGTTTCCCAACCCAATGCAGGTGCAGCAGGCGGTCGGCAAGCTGGAGGAATCAGCGTCACTCCCAAGCGAGGCCGGGGTGTTCTAAACACCGCCGCCATAGGAGGTGCTAGAGTACCCCTTTGCGGACACTGTAATATGCACATAAGGTGAAGGTCTTGTCGTGATGTTTGTGTGCTAGTTTGATGTATATTATTGATATATTGTGTAACGATTTGTTGATGAAAACTCTTGATTTTTGTGTTAGCCTATAACCGACATGAGCTTTATGTGTTTGTAAACGTTGTTTTGGCATGTTTTTATTTTTTTTGTCATATTCTAGAGCATGCGAGTGAAGTGTGCCACGCTAACGAAATCGAAAGTTTCCTAGAGCTAGACGAGGTCGGTTTGCAGATCCCTGACCATCCTCCCCCGCCACCCCCCGTTCCCATCAGTCAAATCAATATAACGATCCCCTACCAATGCACATCTCCACAATTGGACTCTATCGGCTCGAGTCCGCGATCAGATTACTCTTCCTATTCCTCTTCAAGCAGCAAAAATCCCCAGAACGCTAACACTGAGATTGCCAGAGAGAAAATCCTGTCTGAGATCAGGAATTTAACTCCTAAGCTGAAAAAAGTTAATATATCAGGCACCCAAAGCCCTAGAATGAATTATATCGTCAATAATGTCGAAACAACAGTCACTAATAACACCAAAAACGTTAAATCCGAACTTCTTATTCCTGTGAACGACTACACGTCCCTTAACCAGGATAACTTTCCTCTTCCTGACAACCTCACCTTTGCAAATCAGTCTAATAACGACAAAGCTCCGAACGAAACTAGCAAAGCTTACTTCAGCAGCGTTACTAAGGATTCGAAGGACTATAAAAATAAAGATCATTTGCCTGAAGCGCCTATTTGTTGGAAATGTAACACAGAAATTGCTAGGTAACTATTAACTCTGTCACAGTTTTATTCTAATTATTATATGCCATATATTGCCGATGCTGTTTTATGCTCATTATTAACAATAAACATGTGATGAAGCCAAGATGTTGTTAAACTGTTTTTGTTTTCAGAGGGCCCTTCATCACCGCCCTGGGCAAGATCTGGTGCCCCAACCACTTCATCTGTACCACTCCCTCTTGCCGAAGGCCTCTGCAAGACTTGGGATTCGTGGAAGAGCGCGGTCAACTGTACTGCGAGTTCTGCTTTGAGCAGTACCTTGCCCCACCTTGTGCCAAGTGTAGTGGCAAAATCAAAGGGGTAAGAATACGAAACGACAAATGAATAGACGTTTGTACAAAACATCGACCGTTTTCAGGACTGTTTGAAGGCCATTGGAAAGAACTTCCACCCCGAGTGCTTCAACTGCGTCTACTGCGGAAAACTTTTTGGAAACTCTCCGTTCTTCCTAGAAGACGGCAGCCCATACTGCGAAGCTGGTTAGTAAAAACCTATTTAAATTGTAAAAACTGTTGTTACGTTAAAATTTTGTTGCAGACTGGAACGAACTCTTCACCACCAAGTGCTTCGCTTGCGGGTTCCCAGTCGAGGCTGGAGATCGTTGGGTGGAGGCGCTGAACAACAACTACCATAGCCAGTGCTTCAATTGCACGGTAGGTACACCAAAAAAATGGCCACAGTTCGTCAATCAACAACATTGAGTCAACTTTTTATTTTAACGAATTTTCCATCGGGTATAAGTTTTGAAAGGAACAGTGCGGTAATAAACCCGAAATAAAAATATCATATGCTTACGTAAGCTGTTTATTTTTGTTTATTCGTAGCACGCGAGCTGGTATGTGCCACTGACATTTCTACATTTGATTAGTTTGAAAACTAATTAAAGGAAGCATTTCGCGTATAAATATTTTCTTTTAAATGGTTTCGGATTGTTGCATGTTAGGAGCCACTATTGTTAAACATAAGTAAATTAAATTTGCTAATAAATCGATATTGTAGTTGTAACTTAATGCTTTGTAAGATAACAAACCACAGAGTATATTGATGTACATACAAATACGTAAATAATGCGGAAATATTAACATTAGCGTAGTGATTGGTGCGTATTTCTAGTCTCGTATAAATAAAGTGTCGTATTTCATGTCCCGATCTACTTCTCCACGAGAAGTAGAAGGCGCGCAGCGAAAAATAACATTTTCGAGTATGTCCAAAGATGGGCAAAATCTGAAGAGGACAATAATTGTCCAAATTTAAGGCGGACTTCGCTGTGAGGCCCATCTGCGGACCCATCAAGGTCTGGGATCGAACGTCGACCCTGCTATCTTGCAGTTAAGTAGCCAGGGACGGATATCTGCCCAGGATATGTAGTATGACACAAAATTAATATTTGCATTGTATAATATACCGTTTTTGAAATAATATTTTCATTAAATCCAAAATTTTTACAATTCAAAACATTGTTAAAATTTTTCATAAATTTTTGCGTGTTGTGGGTGGTGTTGGTAGCGTGTTTTGCTGGCATAGTCTTTGGCGGAGGGCAAATTTTCAAAACATTAACGAAATCTCGTTTCCCGCTCTGCGCCTTCCTATTGCGATTCTGTGGATACGTGCTTTTGGCGGGATTTATATCGCGTGAATGGAGAGTTTCTTAAATTAAATTGGAAACACTAGTGAATTTTCGATTTTATGATTTTTTTGCCGGCTGACATTCTCTTGTCATTTTCAGATACGACTGAAGTTAAATCTCCAGACTTCTCGTTCAATTTCTAACCCAGCGTTCTGTTTCAGATGTGCAAGAAAAATCTGGAAGGACAGAGCTTCTTCGCAAAGGGGGGGCGCCCCTTCTGCAAGAACCACGCCCGCTAGACGGATCCCCATCCCCATCTGTTTATGTTACCACTGTTTCGCTTTAAACCTGTTAATTTATTATAAAATAAATGGTTGCGATTTTAAAACGTGTACTCTAAGTGTAAGTAATACTATATTTTTATGTTCATTTTAAGCATCTAATTCAGTAACCTATTTATTTATTTATGATAATCGTATATTTGAGGAATGACGACACCAAAAACTTATTAATTTAGGCAGTTGTACTGTTCTTAGCTGTAAATTGATCGTTTCAAAGGGAAAATTGTAGATATATAATATTTTTGAGGTGACTATATGAAGTAATTTTGTGCCATGTAAAATTTTAGATTGTAGATGGATTGTTTGCCCAGCACATATATTGTATAAATACATATTTTAGTTGTAATATGTCTAATTTTATTCATCCACATGAGTTGATGCAACACAAACAAAATACAGAGGCAACTGGTCAAAATTATTATTAAGAAGGCTGTGCAAATACCCCCTCCTTTGAACTATTTGCTCATAATTTTGTCCGGATGTACTAAATTTCAATAAAATCTTACAAGGAGTTATTTGAAAAGAAAAAACACTCTTTTGCCGATTTTGATGGCCTTTAACAAAGCACCTTACGAAGCATTTTATTTTGATCGCATTAATAAAACATTTTCATACCAATTTGCTAATTGATTAAGACTTGAAAATACGGTTGGGGGCTAAATAAAACACACAATTTTTAAACGTTTCTATTTGCAAGGAAAGAAGAGTATTCTTAATTTAAATTTAAGGCCTGAAATCGATATCATAGCTTAACAGGAAAGATACAAATAAATCACGATCATTTGGCATAGCTACGGCAGTTATTCGACGGTAGCGAATCGCATCTGAATGCTCAAATTGGAGGGATCCATATGTCACCAGTAATGTCCATTTCATCTTGGAGAAACTCGCTCAGCTGACTCTCTGAAGCTGAGGGGTGCTTTCTGGCAAGATCCTTGGCTGTTTTCGTGAATTTTATCACCTGCAGAAAGAAGCAAATTGATTGAATGTTTTTGTAATTTTTATTCGAGAACTGAAGACACCACTAATATGTTTGTTTCAATAATAAGCATCGGATTTTTGGACTCGCAAGCAGTTGGAGCCTTGATAACCCTTCTTTGGTCTGTTTACACAGTTGTACATAAAAAAAAGTAGAGATGTTTTAACTATATTCTATATTGGGAAAACCGAATAATGTATGTTTTTCTATCTTCGTGTATATAAAAATACTTATACATTAATATAATTAATATCTTCTACATATAAATACTATATTGTTATACGAGGATTAAAATGCGAAATTGCGAGAAAAAAAACGACACTTTTAATACGAAGAAAACATGATATTTTCTCTCCAACCGAAATGCCCCATTTCATTATTAATTTGTGCTTTGAAATTATTCAAACCAAGTTTGGATAATAAAGTAAAGTAGGTAAGTAAGATATGTCGATGTAGTCATGGATACTTTGTCAAACATTAGTCGCCATGCTGTTCATTTGTGATTGTTTGTGGTTCAATCTGCTAAAAACTCTGTAAAAATGAGATCTAATGAAGATTTATATGTACCTGAGGAGATACTGGAGTGTGCGAAAGAAGTTTCTTTGAATCTTCTCCCAAAGAAATCTTGAGAAATTTATGAATGTGTCTACCAACGTTTCATGGATTGGTGCAAAGGAAAAATATTACTTAGAGACTTCCGACAGCGAAAATGTCATAGTTTTGTGACGGCTGGAGAAAAATTACCGCCTTACCTTATTGACCATATTTTTCACATATCCGTTACTGTTTGAATCATTCAGGTCGTTACTTTTTGCGTCCATCGCTATGGGCCATATCCGAACCCACCCTCCTTCCCTAGGTGTGGCAAACCTCCAGTTTCTCCCATTACCCCAATTTTTATAGTCGTGTTTCTTGCTCTCTTCGTCCACCTGAAACAATCTTCTTTTGTACCAGGTAAATAATTGACATTGCAACAAGTTCATCTGTTCCCAGTACTTACGAATTTTGTTCCGGCTACATTGCACACGGCTTGGCCCAAGTTCCTACCGTCTACTTGTACTTTTGGCAGATTCATGTAAGTCTCTGAAACAGCAATGCTAAATAAAATCACCACGAGATGATAGCTTCTTACTTTGGTTGGCAGTAGACGCCGTTCTACTCTTCGATCGAATCGCCGAATTGGATCTGGAACTGTGGGAGGCTGACATCTTCTTGTGTTTCCTTCTCCATCGACCAGCAGCGTTCACGACGCTGATGGTGCTTTTCAAGGTAAGCTTTGTGGGCGCCAGGTCTTCTTCACTGAAAATTTAAAAGGAAAAGAACAATTTTACCACCTGACAACCCAGAGCCGTGTGTAGTTAAATCCTGCTTCTGATTTTATCCTACCTGGTGGTCACGATTGGCTCGTCAGAAAATATATCGAATACCGACAAACCAGTGTTATACAAAGGTAAGCCTAGTAGGTCGAACATGTCATGCAACATTGGTTTCTTGACAAGCCTATCGGCATCACAGTCGTTGCTTAGAGCGGGACTCAAATTTACCTACAATTGCAAAACAAAGTATAATAACTTTTCTCTTATATTAATGAGTCGTACTAACTTCTAGAAGCCATGGTCGTAGTGAACTATCGATAAGAACATCGAATCCGAAGAATTCAAAGCAATTGACGGTTGGAGGTATCTGATTGACGTGGCTTAGAACTGTCAAAATAACAAGAGAGGTGATTCGTTGCCACAATAACCAATCCGAGATCCCAGCTTGTTGGAAATATCTCCTGAGCTGTCTCAAAGTCCACTTACATCCTATAAAATGTAAATTACATAGTTTGTTTATGTCGTTTACAAGTTTTCCTTACCCGATCCCACTCGATCCTTCATTTCAGTGTAGCCTGGTCCTAGTTTGTTTATAGAGTAGTTGGTCAGGTGTCGGAAGGGGTTCCTGAGGTCGTTTAAGCTGAATTTGTCGGTTCCAAAACGAGCCAACCCCTCCCTGTACATGTATATGGTCACAGGGTGGTAGGAGGGTATGCACACGTACAGCCTCAGGTCGAATTTATAACCGCCGATGAGCAGGGGTTTGTCGATGTATCTTTGTACTATCGTGTTGGTGTCGTAGTTCAGTTCACTTAATTTCTAGAGGACAAAAATGATTATTTTTAAAGTAAGTTCGACAATACCTTCTTACCCTAAACAGAAATATGCCGCGACCCTGACTTTGAGCAACAGGTTTGCATATCCAAATCGGTTTCTCGTCGAGGTATTTGTGGGCGGCGTCTCTACCCCTGCTACATTCTGCTGCCAACTTGGTGTATTCCAGAGGAAGATTGTATCCATGCGGACTAAATTAAAGATTTAATTTAATAATGGAAGCGGGAGAACTACGGAAATGATTTGGACGGTTGCTTTTGATTTGGAACTTACCTAAAATCATAGATAGACCCGTACACCTTCTTCATGCACCTTAAGTACCTAACTAGATTGTCCTTCCTACAAATTGCCGCGCCCTTTGGAATGTGGTTCAGATACTAGAAAAGAAGACCAAGTTAGTAATTCAAAGGGAAGTTTGTTTTGAAATTTACCTGCCAAGCGTAAATACTTCTGTGATGGCTAACGGGGAATCCAGTTGTTCTCCACCAGAGGTTCCAGTTGTCATTCTCCGAGGTGTACTCTCTCCATCCTCGCTCCAAGCAAACCTTTGAAACGAAAAAAAATATGAGAATGTCGATGAAAATGTACTTTTAGCGTTTTCTTTGTTGATCAGTGAATTTAGATTACTGGAGTTGATGAAGAGTTTATCAAGGTATACTACATTTATATCATTATAGACACAAATTCAGAAAAACTATTTAATAATCAATATACAATGGTGGATATTGATCAACATTCGCGGTAGTGAAAAAAGATGTTTTTTAAATTTCTCTGAGATCTAGAAAGATCTATGAGATAATTTCCGATTCTGCAAAGGAAAACAAAAAGATAACTAATAATGCTAGTGAATTTAAATATACAGCGTGTTAAAAAAGTTCTGCATAAAATTCATATTTTCGTTAAACAATTTTTTTTCGAAAAACGGTGAGACCCGTCGATTTTTATTTGATTCCGGGCACCTTGTTATGTGGAAAAATTTTTTTTCTCGATAATCCACTTACGGCAGCGATGACATAATTTTTTTTTAAATGACAACGCATATTTTTTTCGTTCGAAATTGATGACAGTGATAATTATCTAAACAACGGTGTGAAAATTTCGATGTCTTACATAACAATTTTTTTTAGAAAAATGCACCTTAAGTTCTTATAAGTGATAATTGTCTACTTACACTATTAATGGCTCCGAAAAGGACAAAGTTGACAAAATTACATTTCAAACGAGTAAAATTACACTAATGTTTGTGTAAGTCTAGCGAAATTGTTCGAATTGCCCACCCTGTACCATTTGGCATTGTCCTAAGCGTGTGTAAACGCCGTCTACACTTCGTTCAAGCATTCCCGGGTCGATTTGATTTATTTCAAAACGAATACGGTTTTTAAGTTCTTCCAAATCACCTGGTCTGTTTGTGTACACACGCGATTTCAAATAGCCCCACAAAAAAAAGTCTAGAGGTGTTAAATCAGGCGAACGCGGAGGCCACTCGATTGTTCCGCGTCGCCCGATCCACCGGCCAGTAAACGTGTTATTCAAGTACTCCCGTACTTGCACTCCATAATGGGGCGGTGCACCATCCTGCTGAAACCAAATTCTTTCCTCAGGAATATCAGGATCCTCGTTGTTCGGGAATAACTCTGCTAAGCTTGGGACCAAATCGAACCGCAGGAAATCCAAATAGCGAGCAGCAGTTAAATTTTCCTCGAAAAAATACGGGCCTAAAATACGACGCCCTATTATTCCCGCCCAAACGTTCACCTTTCGGGGGTGCTGATGATCTACTTCTTGCACCCAGTGCGGGTTTTCCTGAGACCAATACCGGCAGTTATGTCGATGCACCGATCCATTAAGATAAAAAGTAGCCTCGTCAGAAAAAATTATGTTCTTGAGGAAGTCGGGGTCTCCGTTACATCGATGCATTAAATCTTCACAAAAGTGGAGACGGCGGTCTGGGTCGTCCTCAGTCAATGCATGTATCAAGTGACCCTTATAGGGGTGAAATTTCTCTTTTTTGAGAAAGTTCACCACAGTTACATGTGAAATATCATTGTTCAATGCAATCGACCTTGTACTAGAATGAGGGTTGTCCTGGAGCTCCACCAGGATATTCAATCTAGTTTCATCATCTACTCTAGGACGACCCGCACGAGGAGCATCTTTCACACTACCAGTTTCCTCAAACCTTGCCAGTACCCTACTAACCGTAGATTGCGTAATTGGTGGTCTGTCAGGGTACGTTGCATTAAATAATTGGCAAGCTTCTTGATGGGTTCGTAACTTATCGCCGAAACCAATCATCCTCAAAATATCAATTCTTTCGCGTTCACTAAGTTTTGCCATTTCGAATTAAACGATTTCACCAAAGAATGTTAAATCGGTACTGATTTTTAGTCTTCAATATTTCAGGTAATCTACTCCTTTCAAGTAAACATTTCTTTGGATCTTTTTTTTTTAGGAATTTATCGGCAAACTCGAAGACAAAAAGTCGACCTTAATTTGCTACATACTATTTGGATTTTGTGCGGTTGAACTTGGTTCTAAATTTTGCAGTTTAATCAGGATCCTGACAATATCTGATGAATAATTCCGCAAATATTACATAACACCAGTTGCAACTTAAGTTATCTGAAATGCTTTCTGCCGAATAAATTTTTTTCTAAGGCATTTGATCCGTAAACAGCAAATTATTGCATTCAAGAACTTAAGGTGCATTTTTCTAAAAAAAATTGTTATGTAAGACATCGAAATTTTCACACCGTTGTTTAGATAATTATCACTGTCATCAATTTCGAACGAAAAAAATATGCGTTGTCATTTAAAAAAAAATATTATGTCATCGCTGCCGTAAGCGGATTATCGAAAAAAAAAATTTTTTCCACATAACAAGGTGCCTTGGATCAAATAAAAATCGACGGGTCTCACCGTTTTTCGAAAAAATATTGTTTAATGAAAATATGAATTTTATGCAGAACTTTTTTACCACGCTGTATAAAACGGATTAAAAACAAGCAATCCCATGTATCTATAAGTAAATAGCATGATAGTTTTGTCTCAATGATAACCAAAAAGGTGTGGCTGAATTTTTAGATCGAAATATTTGGAATTATTCAGTTTTCGTGGCTGAAAACTTACATAGGCATTGAATTTTCGAAATCGGAAGAGTTGCACTAACCAAATTTGGACAAGGCATAGCTAATACGATGCAAAACATCGCCTTAATGTTAAAAATCTTGTCACCGCCGTTATTGATGGTGAAACTTCGAAATATTTGGAATTATTCAATTTTCGTGGCTGAAAACATACCCACATAGTAGACCGGGAGATATTAGACTGAAGTTCGACGACGTCTTTCTCGTTTATGCCTCTGAGAGTACTGAAAGGTAACCGAGAGACAAGTACAATAAACTAAATTTAAAAGATGGGCTGCGGGACACCTTTGTGAAAATTCAATTTTCTTTTTCAAAAAAATAATGTGTACAGCGACGTATTTCCCACTTATGCCATGTTCGTAAATTGAAGAGAAGTATCGATTTTATCACAAAATTTTTTTGGCATATGTGTCGCAAAGGACCTAAATATGGAAAACTTTGTAAGAAAATGTGAAAAACGTGTTTATTTGTCTACCAATTTCTCATTAATGCCAATTAGAAATATGACATTATTATATTCGAAAAGCTCATAAAAAACATTGGCATAAGTCCTACTAAGGACTAAAGAAAATAGGGCTTTGGCATATGCGCATTTATCTTATAAAATTATAATAATAATGTTTATTTACAATACATAAAATAAAGCACGAAGTACATACAACCATAGTTACAATTACACAAAATATGTAAATAAACAGAATACACAGTTATTACTGCTTGCAAGTGTTTATACATTTACATAAAATTACAATAACTATAAAGCTATATTAACACAACAAAAAAACATAAACAAAGAATATAAACAATATAAAAGGTTAGGTACGTATGCCATATTTAAGTACAAAATGTAGGTATAAATACATAAATAGGTACATAGGTATAAAATTTGTAAGTATTCATTTTTTTTGTAATCTCATTTCTGATTTATTACACTATCTATAACTTGTCTAGGTGTTTGAAAGGTCCATGTTTTAACCTGTCTTTTAAATTTGGTAAGTTTTTGTATATTTTGTATATTAGTCGGCAATAAATTATACAATTTGGGTGCGCTTCTCTGCCCAACTGCTTTTGAACAAAAGGGTGAGTGATACTCATCCCTACAACGCGTTTCGTAGTTATGTTCTTTTTTTTGTAGTACATTTTATTTTTAAAAACGTATTTTAATATTATGTTTAGGGAGAAAAGTTTCTTTACATCGCATATGTCACTTTCTTTATACAATTCATTGCTGGGATACGTTCACTCTTTTCCATAAATTATTTTAAGTATCAATTTTTGAAGTACATTCAAATTTTTTAGGTAACAATCTTGTATTCCCCCCCCAACCAATTATTCCGTAGGTGAGATGCGACTGAACCAACAAGTAGCATAGTATCTCCCAACTTTTTACTGGTAATATATTTTTTTGAATATTTAAATTTTTATAAGAAGCCTCTAATTTTTTTATTAAGCTATTTATTTGTAGGTCCGATCTAAAATGCTGGTCAATGTGAATACCAAGATATTTTGCTGACTGCGTCTCCTCAATAACTGTCTCTGTGTCGATATTTAATGATGTAGGTAAGTAGCAAAGGAACTAAAAGACATATAGGCTGTTTTATTACAGTTTAATGTGAGAGTATTATATTGAAACCATTTCTTTATGATTCTAAATTCCCTTTCAGCGATTTTCTTACGTTCATTCCAAGATTCTGCCTCAAATAATATCACTGTATCGTCAGCAAAAGTGATAATCTTGCCTTTACTATTTAATGATAATAAATTTTTTGAATGAATGAAACAAAGTTTTTCAATCAATATCAAATGTCTTCACAGTTGTAACCAACGGTGTTAGTAATGGGTTAATTTTTCATCTCCAGTCATTTCCAATTAATCCTATAGAATTCTAGAAAAAATTGATAAAGCACCAATGAAATTTGATCGATTTTCATCAAGATTAAAGCACGAGTTGACGTTTTCATTTCCTTATTGAAATAAGCAAGCCTCCAACATATTTCAAATAAGGATTATATTTCAATTTACTTGCAATTATCATTCCTGCGACCCGACCAGATGGGGGATGGCTCCGAATCCAGTCATACCCATAAAATATACAAAATCCGCCGTCACATCGAGTTTTACATTCCCGCTAAGCATTATGCTAATATTGGCGGAATTACTAGAATCAATTTACATGTATTAATTATAATATTTTTGTCGTCGCACGCTAGGGGCTAGAAATGACGTAATCCCCGCCCCCCAAGGGGCAAAGGAACACCTTACGGCCGTCATAAAACCGCCCTTATCTGCCTGTCGCCATAAAACGGCTGGAACGTACTGCACTGCAATATTCCTCCTCATAAGCCACGACGCGGAAACGGAAATGCCATGCCAGGAGACAGTTGACAATCTGCAACCAT